CGATGCGGGACTCGATCCCGGGACTCCAGGATCATGACCTGAGCCGAAGGCAGTCGCTTAACCAACTGAGCCACCCAGGCGCCCTGTTGATAATATTTTCTAATAATTGTTTCTATTCCCTTGGTGTTAGTCATGATCTCTCCCCTGTCATTCATTATTTTATTAATTTGGGTCCTTTCTCTTTTCTTTTGGATAAGTCTGGCCAGTGGTTTATCCATCTTATTAATTCTTTCAAAGAACCACCTTCCGATTTCGTTGATTTGATCTACTGTGTTTATGGTTTCTAATCCATTGATTTCTGCTCTAATTTTAAGTATTTCTCCTCTAATGCGTGTCTTAGGCATCGTTTGTTGCTTTTTCTCTAGTTCTTTAAGGTGTAGAATTAGTTGGTAATTTGACCATTTTTTTACGTTTTAAGGTACACTTTCAACTAATCCTGTAACCCATAACCGTGTAAAAACCGTTACGTATTTACCCAAGGTAAATGAAAATACATGTCCTAGAAAGATTGATATATGAATGTTTAATGTTCTTCACAATAGTGAAAAACTGGAAACAGCACAATGTCCATAAATAGGTGAATGAATGAATTATGGTATATTTATATAATGGAATCTACTCAGCAAAAAAAAAATGAATTACAGGTCAATTAATTTCTAAGATTTTGTGAAGACCAAAGTAATTTAGATATAAGAGTATGTTCCATATGATTCCATAGACAATAATAGTGATAATAAGTAAATTGGTTTCTATACAACATAAATTAATTACCTGACTAGTCTTGTTTTAATTTACCTTTTTCCCAGAAAGCTTCAGTTGCGTAAGAAATACTATCCTGCTACATTCTAGAATGAGTGAGTGAAAAACATTATAAAAGACAGATGAATATGAAGGTGGTGTAGAGATAACCCTCAAAGATAGCTTGCACACCTATGAGATAGAGGCTTGGTCGACAGGGATGCAGAAGTATTAGGAAAGATAAAATAACGATGCAATAGAGTGATGCAGTAAATTTTATTTTGATTAGGAAATAAGTGCCCCATAGATAACAAGGATTGCTATGTTATCTATTGATTCTTTGGAGTCCAAAAGTTACCCAACTCATTTATCTGAAATATAGGACTCATTCCTGACACTCTTCTTATTAGTACAGAGGCCATTTATATGAGACTTTCTTTTGATCAAGAGCTGCAAATTTATGCTTGTTCATATTTGTGATTGTGATTTGTTTGCATTGTCTCATTTTTTATTTTTTTCTTTATAAGGTAAGTATAGGAATGCCTATCTTTGTGTATTCAAGAGGAGTAAATGAGAGTGCTTATGGAAAGTCCTTCGTAAACTTTTTCAAGCTCTGTGCAAATGTAAAGTAGTGTTTTCAATCAGGCCCGGGGTCTGGAGAAGAGAAGTTGGTGCAAATAATGAAAATGGGAATGAATGCAACTCCTTTCTTACCCCATGCTTTTACTTACAAAATAATATAAATGTAAAAAATCATAATATTTGTGGTTTCTGAAATGTTCAAATAGTTCTAAAAGAGGAGTGATTATTAAGTGTACCTTGTTTGTATTAAGAAAAAACTGAAGGAATCCAGGTATTTGTGAAAGGTCAATATAATGAATATTCTTATTCAATTTCCCTGAGTGACACAGAAAGCACATGGGGGAATTCTGAGCTTGTCCTTTTCTGCTACTGGCCAAGGAGGCCAGAGGAAAGTGATTGTTTTCCAGCCATGGAGCCAGTTTTGTGTTCTCTTTATGATGACATATGGAAAACAGGGTGTGCATGTTCTTCTTACATTTATGTGTACCAGATTTGATGTAGAAAATGTTACTGCAAAGTGTGGAAATTTGAGAAGGCATGGTAAGTTGGTCTGTAGTCCCTACTCTTTGTAAAACCTTTCTTCTTCTTTTTTAAAAGATTTATTTGAGAGAGTGTGAGCGAGTGGGGGGAGGGGCCGAGAGAGACAGAGATTCTCAAGCTGACTCCCTGCTGAGCACGGATCCTGACACAGGGCTCAATCCCAGTACCCATGAGATCATGACCCGGGGCAAAATCATGAGTCAGATGCTTAACTCGCTGCGCCACTGCTCCTCTCCTCTTCTTCTTTCTCCTCCTTCTCCTCTTCCTCCTCCCCCTTCTCTTCCTCCTCCTTCTCTTCCTTCTCCTGCTTCTCCTCCTCCTCTCCCTGCCTCCTCCTCACCAATGATGTGTTTAAAGTGTCAAGGATCTAAATACTGAAAATAAGCTCTTCTGTAAATGTGATGTAGGCAAGAGGACAATAAAATTCTAGGCAGGTTAATCTTTTCCAACCCAATGTCTGAACATGTTCTATTGTGTTTGTGCCTAACCGTGTTAGCTTTTTATTGAAAGGAATAGATGTTATTGTTTGGATTGTCTCCCTCTCTGTTAGTCTGAGAGTAAAAACTCTCATAAGGCTATGTATCTGATAGATGTGAAAGTGGAGGAGGATGAAGATAGGGAGTTAAAGAAGAAATAGGAAAAGGGAAGCAAAAATAACCAAAAGTTTGAGCGTCCCTAGAAGATAGTCTAATGTGTTACTTTAGTTAGTGGGAGGAGTGCCCCTTAAACTTTAAAGGATGTATGAAGTATATGAAAATGCAGTTTCTAATTCTGTAAGTCTGCAGTTTGACCTGGGAATGTGTATTTCCGTAAGGCTCCCTGGTGATGATGATTCTGCTCTGAGAACCACTCAGAGTAGCAAGGCTGGAGAGTTTGGCTGTACCTTTTGGTGAAGGTCATATTTTAAAAATTTCACTAAAGATAATTTGTCAAAAGGCTAGCTAAATGTGATTTAGTTTTATACGTTCATTAGACTTTCATATAATAAAATTCAAAATTATTCACCAAAAATAAAAGCATTTGTCTGGGCATACCACCCTGAAGTTTTTCATTAATTGCCTCCCTAGTTCAGATCCCTTGCTGAAAACTATGTGAACAATTTGTTATCCTGCCAGATAGTATCCTAACCCAGGCTGCCATATGGTTAATGTGTAAAATGTCTAGGTTGTGCCTGTGTTGCCATGGAAAAGGCCCTGGAGAAACAGACAGACCATCTGGCTTCTACTTTTGATACTGCTGACTAGCTCAGGGACCTTGAGTACCATAGCTCTAAAATTCAGCTATTTTTTTCCTTTGTGGAATGATTGTGGGTATTTGTTTGGTGAGAGGTGAGAAAGCATTTAGTTAGTGCCCGTAATTGGTGCTCAATTAATGCTTAAAGAGCCTCTTTAGGAGTAAAACTAAGTAGTTTTAAGTCTTACAGGCTTTGGGTAGAAGGGTCAGAGAGGACAGGAATTGAGATGAAAACATGTCCTATAACTTAAAAGAAGGACTTCACCATGCTGCCCTCCTTCCTCTTTAATGGTTTTAGTTGCTCAAATCTTGTACTGAAATTCTGATCTTTTGTTTAACTTTATGAAATGCAAGTTGCTAACTACTGGGAGAACTTCCTTTTGCTTTTCTTCTATCAGCCTTATCTGAAATGAGTAAATCCGTTAAAGGACAGCAGTCTTGACCATTTCTTCTGTTTCTCTTACTTTGCAGATTATTCTTCAGCTGTTCAGAAATTTTCTCAGACACTTCAGTCCTTTCAGTTTGATTTTATTGGAGACACTCTGACTGATGACGAGATTAACATTGGTAAGTCTTCAGCTACATGTGGCCTTGTGCCTCTGAAGGCAGTTTTGAAACTCCTCGGTTTTTGGATACAGGGAACCTGGGCATCTTCATCCTCTGTGGTCTAGTGTCAAGATCATGGGAGGCTGCTTAAGAAGGGTAAAGAAACATTGTCTCCCAGTCCCCTTCCCCTCTCAAACCAAAGCAACAAGAAGATAGCCCTTAAGCCTCCACTGAGGCCTTTGACTCGGTCAATCTGCAGGGAACTTTTTCTTTAAAGAATCTAATACATGAAAATAGATATTTTTGTAAAATATCAATTAAAGAGTGATTTTTTTAAAAAAAAATTCCAAAATGATTTAGAGTAACAGTCCTCCAAGGAATAAACTTCTCTAGAATGTTTAAAAGTAACATCTGTATATGTCCAGCTTTTCAGACAACAGGACATTTGACATCTCTCTTGGGAACTGAATTTAACAAGTCACTCTATGAGCTGTGTGATCTCGGACAGATACTTCCTTTTTCTGAGCCTTAGTCTTATCATCTATAAAATGTGTTTAATATTAATATCAAGAATGTTACCAGGAAGAGATTGAATAGTGGACGTTAAAGAACTTTGTGTTAGTTGTTATGAAGTTATAGTAGTGTCAGCAAACTATGGCCCTTGGGCCAAATCTTGCCTGCCACCTTTTTTTGGTAAAGTTTTGTTGGAACACAGCCACATATATTCGTTTAAATATGGTCTAAGGGAAAAAAATATTGTCTAAGGGTACTTTTGTGGTAGGACAACAACATTGAGTAGAAGTGGCAGAGACTGGATGGCTTTCAAAGCCTAAAATATCTGCTCTGGTCATTTAAGAAAAAGTTTAGTAACCAGTGAGCAAAAGAATTAGTGTAAAACATTTGCTAGACAAGAACACTGAATCACAAAACTATTGTGAATAATTTAATGTCAGTGAAACAAGTTAGTTACAAGGTTGTATTTATGAACCCCGGCATTAAAATATGAAAATGTATTATTATTATTTAATGGTCATTGTAGTAAATATGAATAATATATAAAAGTATAAAATTACCTATGATAGTAAGATATTCCATCACAGAAACAATGTATTAGATGGTATTGGCATGTTATATTTTAGCTGTCTTTTGTACATGTATCTCTTATGTGTATGCAATTTAGTTCATGCTAAATAAATACATAATTTTATCTTTTTAACCTAACAGTTTATCATCATCAGCTTCTGATATCATTTAAAATTCTTTGTAAGTTTCATGGGGGAGCAAGGACATTGTTTTTATTCACTGTTATTTCCCCAACATGTAGAGGGTGCCTAGCATATAGTAGACACTCAGCACATGTTTGTTGAGTAAATAAATAATGGATGAATTCAGATCTCTTTATTATAGGAGCCATAGTTTATATGATATTCAACTGTTTAGCTTATTTCCAATTTTTCACTCTTATAAATAATACTGCAATGAGTACTTCTATGAGACTAAGATTGATGACTGTTTTGGTAAATGTGGTAGTGTAACTAATGAGGCACACATTTGCATTTAGATTATTTATTCACTTCACTTCATTTTAATTTTACAGATCTATTTTTGTTTAAGGGCATGACTTATTTAAAAGTTAATATCATGAGCTCTAGAGTCAGATAGCCCAAATTTGAACTCCAGCTTTGGAACTTATTATCTATGTAATCTTGGGAGGTGGCTTTCCCTTTTTTGAGTGTTAATTTTTCTCATCTTTGAAATAGGGTTGAGATGATCAATGCCAAGTGTGCACAGTGCCTAAATATATGTTAACTGTTTAGTCATTGTTAATATAAGACTTGATTTCTTTGTACTCTGCAATGGACTAAGTGTTTCTGTGTCCTTCCCAAAATTCATATGTTGAAATTCTAACCCCTGATATGATGGTATCAAGAGCTGGAGTCTTTGGGAGGTAATTAGGTCATGAAAGTGGAACCCCTCATGGATGGGATTAGTGCCCTCATAAAAGAGACACCAGAGGACTCTTTTACCCTCCTTCCATCACGTGAGGATACACAAGAAGTTGTCAGTCTAGAACCTTGAAGAGCGCTCACCAGAACCTAACTATGCTGACACTCTGATCTCAGACTTCAGCCTCCAGAACTGTGAGAAATAAATTTCTGTGGTTTATAAGCCACCCAGTCTATAGTATTTTGTTATAGCATCCTAAACTTAGTAAGACAGAAAGAAATTGGTACTGAGAAGTCGGGGTGTTCTGTACCAAATACCTAAAAATGTGGAAGTAGCTTTGGAACTGAGTAATGCGAAGAAGCTGCAAAAGTTTGGAGGTGCATGCTAAGAAAAGCCTAGATTGTCATGAATGGAATTTTTTTTTTTTAAAGATTTATTTATTTATTTGAGAGAGTGAGAATGAGAGAGAGTACATGAGAGGGGGGAGGGTCAGAGGGAGAAGCAGGCTCCTCAGTGAGCAGGGAGCCCGATGCAGGACTCGATCCTGGGACTCCAGGATCATGACCTGAGCCGAAGGCAGTCGCTTAACCAACTGAGCCACCCAGGCGCCCTGTCATGAATGGAATTTTAAAGGCAATTGTGGTGAGAGCTCAGAAAGAAAAAAGGCGAGCCATAGACAAAGTTTCCATGAAGAACATGTTATTAGACAATGGAGAAAAGCAATCCTTGTTATAAAGTAGGCAAAGAACTTGGCTGAATTGTGTTTGCATTCTAGTGTTCTGTAGGAGGTAGTGCTTTCTGACTGAAAAAATTGAATATTTGGCTGAGGAAATTTCTAAGCAAAGTGTTAAAAGAATGGCTTGGTTCCCCCTGTTTCTACCAAAAGCTGAGAGGAGAAAAATGAAGATGGAATTATTAAACAAAATGGAACCAGAACTTCAAGATTTGGACACTTCTCTGCCTGTCCACGTTACAAAAAATGACAATGTGTTTGGAAGAGAACACCAAGGGTGTGGTGGACTGACCATTGCATAAGGAGATCAATGTGGGTGTGAACCATGGAACAGAAGCCAGGAATAGAGATGGGATTATATGAGCAGAAACACTACCAGCTGGGACTATAGGAAACAAAAATGGGACAAAATGAAGGAAGACTGACTTCTTAGACCCTATTAGACCAGACCATATAGCTATTTGGCTCTGAACATGCACTATTTTTCAAAGACAAGAGAAGAAGGACTCTGAAGCCAATGCTGAGATCATCAGGGCTGCCACTTCCATCACATGCGTAGAGTGCAGAGGCCCTGGAGCCTCCCCCTAGATTTGAAAGGGTGAGACCAATGCCCAAGGAGCTGTAAGGGGTGGGCCCACTGAGGGTACAACACCCATCTTACCGTAAATGTCAACAAGTGCTGTTTAGGAAAAAGGTGTGTGAGTTTGAGCGTGATGGCTTATAAACAAAAATAAAAATAGCACTGCCCCCTCCACCCCCCCCCCCGCTATTGATGCCAGGTTCTTGTGGGTGTTTGTGAACTCCATTTAAGCTGCTCGCTGTGACACAGCTTCTTAATGTATGCTTTACAACAACACTTTAACTCAGTTGCCATTTGCCTACCATCTCCAGAAACTCATAGTTACCATCTGATCATTGCCTTTAGGGATGGGATGACTCATGAATTGACCTTTCTTGATGGGGACTGAAAAAAGATTTTGAGGTGTTAATTGGCCTGTCATAGTCATTGTCCTTGTTGAATGTGTCATTTTGAGAACTGGGATTTGTGGTGGTAGTGAGAAGAACAACCAGTGCTCCAGCAGTTTAAGGTAAGGCTCTTTAGAGGCTTTGAGAGGAAATATTAGACACCCTACTGGGAGGGCATTGTTGGGAAACATTTCCTTTGGAAGCTGAGACAGGAGAGTGTGCCATACCCTCCAATTGCCAACATTACTGGCCCAGAGTAGGTAGATCTTCTGTTTAACTGGAAAAATTGGTAAAAGTACAGTTATGATAGAATTTTGGGTTGAGATTTAGATTTCACATTATATGTGAAGAGAGCCTTGCAGTTCTTTTCATAATGCATTTTTCATGATGGCTGCAAAATGTGACTCAGTACCATTAACCCCCTTGTAGATACCAGTTGCCTAAACAGAGATGGTAGTGATTCCTAGAGGATGTGAGTCAAAACCTGAGGCTTCTTTGGAGAGTCCCTTCCCTTGATCATCAGCGCTAGTAACTAACTTGTGTAGTCTGTGTCTAATCGGGACAAGTGGGAGAAAGTGTCTCACTGCCCTGATGATGACATTTGTCCCTGCTCTAGACCAAGACATCTGTGCCTTCAACTGGCATTGCCTGGCTTTTTCTCTACCTCTGTAGCTCAGTAACCAAAGGAAATCTCAGGAGTTTGGGTAGTTTTGTGTATACTTCAGATTTATTAGCTATGGGATCTTAGCAACATTACCTAAGCTCTTTGGGCCTCTGTTTTCCTCCTCTGTAAAGCAGTAAGTATAATCTGTTTCATAAGACTGTGAGCGGTAAATCAGATAAATACATACACCAGAGAGTATATGTAAATCATTAGGCTCAGTGTCTGACTTATGATTGGTGCTCAGTATTTCATAGTTGTTACCAGAAAGGTGGTAGAACCTAAGTTTTGGAAAATTTCAGTTTGAAATTATACTTCCTGAATAACTGCAAAAGAAAGTGTAAAATAAACTGTTAATATTCTAGGAACCTTAGAGAGTATCTAGCTTAGTTATTCCTAATATATGTCACAGTGACCTGAAGCTCTTATTGATCCAGAGTCTCAGGACCTCTCTTAGATCAAATGAATCAGAATCTCTGTAGTGGAGCCCAGGGCCCTGATTTCTACACAGTCATCATAAAATCCGTGAGCATTTTGGAACCCCATGTCAGTTTTCAGGGTTTTTCAAACTGTTCCTTGGATCCTCAATTTCTCCTATCCACCAGTGCTCAAATGAAGCATGTAAGAACTTACTTGAAAAATTGAATTTCCAGATTAAAAAATAAGCTGGTACTTTCACAGGTGCTTACCAAGTACTAGGTCTTTAAGCACTTT